TCACCATGGGGGAGGAGGAAACAGGCAACGGTGGACAGGGGGGGGGGGGGGGGAGGAGGAAGCGGGAGAAAGTGGAAAGCGCGATCTGGTCGTCGGTTTCTAAGCATTTTTAATTTTCTTCCCCGCTCTCCCGCTGTCACCGACATCAGGAGAACGGCAGGGAGGAGTTTCAGTTGTGCAGCTTACAGCCTGAGCTCCCTACATTGGATAATAAAAATTAATATGAACATGAGTATAAGCATAAGCATAACGCTTCGGCGTCTCGTTATGCTCGAGCGTGCAGGCGCCGCCAAACACAGCGGGAGGCAACGAACGAGTTCTCGCTGCAGGCCGGGCGTTTGAAAGAGAATTCTTCCGTTATCATCCTGCCAGTGACTATGGAAGCTTCCATAGTTACTATTTTACATTTCTCTTTATCCTAACACTTCATCCTTAGACGAGATTTCATCTTTGGTGTGTATATTGGGATGATGCCTTTTCGCAACTCCAGAGGGGTTCGACGCCGCCCAGCGGGAGAGACCTGAAGGAGAGAGGCGGGGGCTACCACCAACGAGGTAGAGGGGCTTAGAGTGATGATCCGGTATCTCGTTCACCAAGCAAAAGTGACCCCCATCTGGCTGCCGCCATGTCTAATTTTGACCGCTAGACTCGTGACCGTACCAAATCATCAGGATTTTTCGAAAAACTGAGCCGAGATTTGTACTGCGATCGTTGTAAAACATGTTTTTTTTTTCAATTTTGTTAGCTTTAGGGATCACTGTCTAGCTCTGATAAAAACCCAAAATGCAGTACCGTGGCTGACGCCATCTAGCGGAAGCATTGCGAAGCTGCCCGAGCTTTTTTCGTAAAAGCACATTTTGGACTTAAAACAAGCAAGACATAACTTATCTCATTGGTACTAATATTCAAGATCAATAAGCAATTACTTGTGCGCGATACTTGGTTAAAATGGAGACGTAAAACCATAAGGACACGTGTCTAGTGGTCAAAAATGTGCAACATGGCGGCGGCCAATTGGGGGTCAGCTGCCAGTTTATCGCTGTAAGGCCCTCTACCTCATTGGCTACCACCGATTCATGTGGGCGCCGCACACTTTAGCGCCCTAGTGGCCCAAACGTGAAACAGAGAAGAAGGGTTAGATACACGCCATTGGAGCTGCCAATGGCTTCGGTGACGCGCCGCTGCGTTCAGTGGCGCCATCTATTGGGCAGCCCCGGCACACCTCCGTTTCACGTATATATCTTTATTTTTTACTCATCATTATTTTATCGTAAGAATGAAATAAGTCTGACAGTGCTATAAGTGACCATTTCCATAAGACAGCGTGTATATTTGGTTCCGTAAATACTGCGAAACCCGCCGTCTAGTTCAGAAGCGGAAGTGGTTGGGGGATATTTGCACACTGGCGCCACCACGTTTCAACCCACGTGACGAAGACAGAATAAAATTTTAAACTTTTCTTTGAACTTGAAGCTTTAACTGAACAATAATAGTGTGCTCAAGCCAACGTCCTTGGACCTATAAGTCGGGCGGATGTAACGCCCCTCTATCCATGGAAAGGTGGCGCCATTCATTGTTGCGAATATGCTCAAAACACGTGCCGCGCGCCACTTCTGGGAAGAACATGGCGTCTAAAATCTAGCTCGGGGCTGCGCTGTGCCGCAGTGATCTTCCCAAGGGCTGCACGTTGCCCGTCCCTCGTGTATCGACGCACCTTGCGCTACTTTCGAAACATTAAGGGGCATTAGGCGGATAGGGTTCCTTGCGCCACCAGTAGCATGCGACGCCTCGACGCGCAACGGAAAAAAACCGTTTTCGAATGGCGTTTCTTTTTTTTTAAGCTATCAAAAGCTTCCGTAAAATTTAGATTTACCATCAAAATTGCAATAGAATCATTTTCCACCTCATGCAATATACATCCAACGACTCGCCGGTTCTGCCGCCTCTCTGCATAGGGCGAGCTTATAGCGCAAAGAGCACCACAGAGAGGGCGCGCCACGAGAAGGCACCAGGTGTCCTAGGAAGCTTGTTAACTGACTTTGATATAGCAACATTGTCAGAAGCCACCTCGACTGACTCCAGGTTGCTAAGCCCGAATAATGCAAATGTATACCTGCGTGTCAAAAGAAATTGTTTCTGCGCACTCTATTTCTTTTTAGTGACCTGTCCAAAAGTACTTTGTGTCTTAAATATCGCTCCCTCGTCCGACTGTGGGGTTTGAAGATAAGAAACCGTGGACGATAACCGAGCCGGTATCTAAACCTACTATAGAAATTTTACACACGCGCCAGATTACAGCCGCCATGGTAGACCCTCTCTTGTCTCACCGACATTGCCGAGCAACTGACTCAAAACCTGACGAGCTTTCACGAAAGCCTAGGTAGGGAAGAGGACACAGTAGAATCTAAAAGGAGAATAACCTCTCCTGATGTGGTAACGACGAAGTGAAGTAAGCGGAATAAGAGGAAACAAAAACTGAAGGTGGGTAATGGTGGTACCCATGACGAGCTGCTGCAGGGCGTCTCACGTGCACCTTAAGAAACAGCGGGGGCGGCAAGTCATGATAATCTTATCTTTGCTCCGCAGCCTATGAGATAGTGGCATTCGGCGTAAAGAGCTCCGAAGAACGAAGCAAAAAAGAGTCAGCATAAAGCACGCCCCGACTGTCTTTAGCTGTCGTTGATTATATATATCCCACACGCCTCTTACCCGTATAGCCAGCCGTTAGAACGTTTTCTATTATTGCAAGTTTGTTCCCACTTCTCGAATCGACGTAAATCAAAATGCATCAAAACAACAGTTTACTACGAGGCGTTCCTTTACGAGGCGGACTGGTTACATTACCGAAAGGTTCATTCTTTTCGTGCCACTTTGAATGGAAGGGTACGGGGTGCGAGACGGATAGAAACACAGTCAACAGCCCCGCGAGTTTGTGTATTGCTTGCGTATTTTGTTTTATTTGTTTTTTTCATGTCTGGGGAGTTTAGAACCGCTGTTGTGTTTTGTAATCGTTGATACGTTCCAGGCGGTCCGTTGCGTTGTTTATTCTTCTCGTCGTCGTGTTAGTGCCGCTCCCTTTTCGACGTGGCAACCGTGTCGTCCCTTTATTTTATTTTTCTTCTCTCTTTCTCGTTTCTGATTGGTCGAGAGCGAGGCGTGCGAAAGAAACGCACGGCTTCGATTGGTCGCGCTGACGGTCGGTCGTTGCGTCGGTCTTGTTTGTGTTTTGAGGGCCGCCGTTCTCAGACGCGATTGGTGGAACGGTTTTCAGCCTTTTGGTTACGTTTTTGCTTTTTCTAATCCGTTTCGAGACTTCGATTGGGCGCTCGGAGAAACTCGGTTCAGTTGTGATTTGCATAGAGCGTTCGAGAACTGCATCTTAAGCGCGCGCCACCGTTTTCGATGTTGTTGATTTTTGTTTGTTTTGTGTGTGTGTATGTGTGTTTTTGTGTTTGTTTTTTTCTTGTCGTATGAGCTTGTATATATTGGCTTAGTGCGCCAAAATCGAGGTGGCGTTCTTTTTGTTCGCGCATGCGTCTGTGTGTGGACTTCAAATGCGGCTTCTCAATTCAGTTAAGGGGGCACGATCTGCTAATGCTGTCAGTGCTGTCGAACGAAAAAAAAAAAAAAGGTACTTTCGTCGAACTTGGAGTGAACCAGAGAGAGAACAAAATAATTGGTGTTCTTGACGAAATTTTGTTAGCAAGCCACTGAAGCCCGTTTCAAACTTGCAGCTGATAATGGATTTTTGTGATTGTATTTTTCTGGGTCACTGAAATGGTTACACGTCCCGGCAGACTGCAGACCAATGCTAGTTAAGAACGACAAGTGTGTGAAAACTTATGTGATGGTCTACCTTACTTTGGGAGGATCCAGTCGAAATGGGAAGATAAAGAACGGATAGCTTAGTTGCAATTTCGAAGGCGCGTGCGAGTCCGCTGCAGAATAACGTTCCATAATAATGACTTGACTGAGTCGTCAAGACAAGGTACTTCTTCAAGTTTCCAACGTAGAGGGGAAAATGGCGTAATATTTCGTTTTTCTTCATTTTGGTATATCTTTAAGTGTATTTCTCTATTACAAACACTGCTCGTCCGAATCTTGTGAACAACATTTCGGAGAAGATCCTCCATGATCTGCAGCAATAAAATCAGCGAGAAAAGCTTCTTTTTCTGATTTTCGGAAGCAATATAGCATCAAAATGGCAAAAGATGCGCCATTATTTTTTTATGGTGTAACGGAAGGAGACGTCTTGATACGTGAACTTAAAGACCCCATACAGTTGCTTAGAAATTAACGTTATGTATTCCACATAATCGCCCTCTGATGTAGTATGTTTCACTTACCACTGTGCAATATTTTAAAAGAAATGGGACACCGACACAGCCCGCAGCAATCTTCCGTGTTTGATTTTAGCTGAGTATGACCTGATCTGAAGATCTTATGTTTCATCAAACTATAATTTTAAGATCTTTCTCAAATTCACAAGATCTGTTATTAGAAAGATGACAAGTCTTTAAGTGTCGCTGTATATATAACGCGAAAGTTGAATGGATGAAACAGCTGCTCGGGGGGGGGGGGGGGGGGGGGGGGGGAGAGGGAGGAGGGGGAAAGGAAGGAGGAGGGGGAGAAACATGGAAGCTGGAGAAGTGTGTAAATTCTTTCTGGTAACTTTCACACGTGCATCTCTGGAAGAAAAAAAATCTCACCTGCAAAAATCATTGTGCTGCATGCATACACGCAGCGCCAGGGCTACCACAGCGTCTGTCCTGTCGACGACTTAAGAAGGGGAGATTGAATGGTTATTTCAGCTCTGCCAAAGCCCCCCCCCCCCCCCCCCCCTCCCCCGCGCAACTACAAATTGCTTTTCGCTCCTTCCACTGTTGCTAATACTGACTGTCAAAATGACCTCCTCAAAGTGAAAGTTTCATTTTTTTTGGGAACGAGCGAGCCCTGGCTCAGACCCCGGCTTAACGCCCATCTTTTCTTTGTACTTGCAGTGACATGTCCGGTGCGATTCAGCATGGATGACGACAGGCCCTTTCCATTGCTGCCATAAGCAAGGTGAGCTAAACTTCGCGGTCTATCTATCGACCAGTCCGATGACAGCCTTCTGCACGCTGACATTTTTTATCTGTTGGGTTGCGGAACGATTTGTGAGCATGCGCAGTCGATCACTCTCTTCTGCAGAGTACCAGACGGCGCACATGAGTACCCAACCCGGTGACTCGGCAGTTTTCGCTTGGGTGATAAGCGCTGTAAAAGTGTGTAATTATTTCACGGACAGGTGAGAATTGGTCATCAGTTGATAAGAATACAGAATAAGAATCACGAATCAGGAAGCATAAACGTAATACGCCCTGCGTTTGATAAGCTGTTGGTTACAGTAGTCGTGTTGATTTCGCACCTACGTCGGTCTGCACAAAGCCCTGGTCTATAGACCTTTGATGATCTTAGCAGTACTATAGGTTGGTACTTCTTCAGCAATGCCATGAAGCCTGGGCATCATTTACTTGATGTCCGGCTCTTTAGCGTCTCACACTATTCTAGTCGGTGCGCCTGCTGATCTCCGCAGCTGTCCAGTTTGAGGCTGTTTGACTTGCGCTTGTGTGTGTGTTGTTTTCACTAGATCTGTGCACCAGACACTGTGAAGTGTTTTCTACAAAAGTATTAGCTTCTGCTTTTTTTTATTTTGTGATACGGCGCAATTGCCGACAACTTGAAATGGGGTGATCAGCGGATGGACCTACAACCCGTGAACTTAACGGTCGCTCCATCGTGAATGTGACTGACACCTGGTACCGAAATCTGTAGCTTATGGAACTAAAAGTTCTGACCGATTCTCGTGGTACGTGCCTTTCTTTGTTCGTTGCACGACTGATGAAGGCCCGGCCCAGAGTCGTTCTGTTAATTCAGTCAAGGGCTGCTTCGCTTGCTCGATATCCGGCACCTCTTTTCAAGTCTCAACTTCTTTAAACATCCGTATATTTATTATTCTTTTTTGTCTTTTAGTTACTCACATTTCAGGAGATAACTGTAAGTCTCAAAGAATATGGCCCCGGCAACTAGTATAAAGTATCTATAACGTAGATTGTCCTTACTTTCTGCGTGAGTTCAGCGATGAAACTGGGTAAAAAAGAAGTTCTCGATGTTCCTGTTTTATGTTATTATTACTTTTTACTACTATTCTCTACTTTTTTTTTTTCTTATCCGTTGAAGTGGCGGCTGTTGCATTTTGGCAGTCTTTAATCTTCGCGCCATTACCTTCATGTTTATTTACAAGACCAGGTTGAGATAAGAGCTTTTCCTTAATAATGGTGAGTTTCAGTGTTGCATAAACGACCGAACGCCAACACTGTGCGTTTGCGTTAGCATTGCCTGGTGCCAACCCGCATGCGCAGAGTGGAGCACGCAGCGCTAACGCAAGCGCAGAGGGCTCGCGTTATCTACGCAATACTAAAACTCACCGTTCCTTCATCACGTTACACTTATAGGGAGTATTCACTGGCGGCCATAGTTGTGTACGCGAATGCTGAGCGCGTGCTGACGGCGAGCTTCCACAGTTTTTTTTTTTTTTTTTTGCAACGTGCATTCCGCACCATCAAGAGTGTCGGTCTTAGCAGCATATTGATGTGAGCTCGTCCTGAGCGTGCGCTGTGAACAGCACCCACAAATATGGCGTCCAGTGAATACTTCCTATAGAACAACACCTGATTACGGTTCTGCGCCAGCTATCCTATTCTTTCGTTCTTTTATTTAGAGATAGTAAGGTGTGGCTTCCTCTCTGAAATAGAGTCCGAAGTTGGACTAACCGGTCGCTATTGGTAACGGGATAAAACAGAGCAAAAAATACTGAAGGACAGGTAGACGAAAGACACGAACACAGCGCTGACTCACGACTTGGTTTTCTTTTTCTTCTTCAAGACATAAAAACAATGAAGTAAAAAAAAAATGTTCTTCTTTCTGTTGCACTTTCTTACGGTTGCACGCCTAACTATAACGTTGAGGAAAAATCAAGGTGTATTGATATGAATTATCATTTAATGCTGCCCTATTACTTTTACAAACATTTATATTGTTATTGTTGTTGATATTCTTGTTGTTGTTTTTTTAGCTTATGGTGAACTTTTTTTCCGAAGCTGAGATATTTATCTTCTCTAGATATTGCGTTAGAACTTCGACGATACTTTATCCAGATGGTCTAGAGTGTAGACCTAGCATTCCTAAATACAATTGTTTCGGTTGGATCGTCGGGACCAGTAATGAACGCTGAAGGATAGTGAAGCAGCAAGAACATTCGTTTGTATATCTCAGAAGGCGCTGCATAAGTATGGCGAAAACATCTCTAATGACTGAACAAAAAATAAATTAAAAAAACACGAAGTTATTAAATTTTCCGTTGCATCTCTCGTTGCTTACACGCTTGCAAGTATGACCGCCATCTTGCTCATTGGGGTGCGCTTGCCAGGCGCGTCATAATTCGATTTCGACACTTTAACAAGGCGTCGTAATCGGATTATGACGTGCCCAAGCGTACCCCACCTGAGCAAGATGGCGGCACCCTGAGGCTGAGGACAAAAATGAACTTATAGTGACTTCTGTAAAAAAAAAAAAAAAGAAACGCAAGGAGCAATTTTACACACAAACTGCAGATAAAAACAAATTAAGGAGGATTTACAGAGCAGGGGCAGGCACTAAACGCAACTCGTGATCACCGTAGGTGCCCCTCCTCTTCCTTTACATGGGGAGAGGTCTGCTGTTCGAGTCACGACCTTCCGTATCGTGCGTGTGGCATTCGCGGTCAATCGACGACGCGTGGCTCCACCGCGTGGCGGCGACTGCGGCAAACATGCGCGCTCGTCGGAGGTCCGAACGGTCGTGATTGCGGGTTGTCTTCGGCGGACCCGTCTGTATAGGTGTGGAAAACGCGTCGTTGTTTTTGTGTCGTGCACTGTTGTTACGAGTGAATCCGGCAGGGACCCCTGCGTGGGGGGAATAGATTGATTTTGTGCGTTCGCAAGCGCTGCTGATTGTGTTTGTGCGGCCGCATGAGGTTAGCCGTGCCGTTCTTCGGCGATGTATTTGACGAGGTTCTCAGCTCTACCGTCGATCCAGTTTTGGACGCTTCTGCAGCTTCGCTTTGTTGTGAAAAGCGAACTTTACGGGGAGTTTTTTTTTCTTTTTTTCTTTTTAAGCTTAACAGATTCGTCTAAAGAAAGCCATAAAAGCTACACTTATGCGGTTTGTGCAGGTGAGGTACGTGGCCAGGGGGACATAGTAGAGGGGGCTAATCGTAACGATTGGTTGGATAATTAAGTAAACTTTGTTAATTGAGCTTTTAATTAGTAAAAAATGAACTTATGATTTAAACTAAAAACTTGCTGAGCGTCAATGAAAACAACTAAATCAGTAATTTTCTTAGAAATACTTCGAGCGCGTGAGAAGCGCAGTGTTGCGCTAAAGTTACCACGCGCGAAGCCGGAACCATTAGGGAATTGTAGTAGACCGTTCCCGCCGCCCGCTAAGCATCCGCATAGCGCTCCGTAATCCGCCACAAGACCTTGAACTATGCAGAGAAGGCTGGCGGCGCGCATGCGCAACTGCGGCGTTTTCTTCGGGGATACCGTAGCGGAGGAGAAAGACGATCTACTACAACTCCCTATTGGCTATACCGGTACGATAACGCGTCCGTGCAACTTTTCTGTCTTTTATAATAGACGCTTTTTGTTTCCTTTGGTTCTCTGTCACGTGGGTGCCATATCTGGTTTGCGGGACAAAAAAAATAACGAAACGTTTCAACCTGTAATGTACGAGGGTGAGACAAAGCAAGACTGTGTGACATGCAATTACGGATTTTTTTGTGAAGACCTTCCAGCGGCGCGTTGAGAGACCAAAACAATGCTATCAACCTATTCGCTACTCCAGCGGACTATAGGGAGAGCGCTGGGGGGCTAAGCTCGGCGCGGCGAGATCGAGGCGAGTTCTCCGCCAAACTCGCCGACCGCCGCGATTGGTCGGCGCCGTGCATGACGACACGCGCCGACACTCCCTAGGTCGTGACGTTAAACGGAGGGTTTGAGGCGGTCGGAGAGTTGCTTATTCGGAACTCGCGGCGAGATGCGGTGACGTCATTCTGACGTGGCAGAAGCCGCCGCGGATGGGAAAAGCTTGCCGGCTCCGACCTAGGCGAGTTTGGGTGAGTTGGGCGCGAGATCAGGGAGAAGCGTCCAAAATGGCAGCGTTTTTGTTGGTGTTTTGCCCTCGGCATAGGTATTTAAACCACGCCAATGTGTTGGACATGGACGACATTCATTTTCAACAACACTATCGCCTCTCGAAAGACGTGGTAAGGTGGCTGTGCGATGAACTGCGTGGCGAACCGGGCTTGAGGCGATGGAGCCGTAAATGAACCGTCGCCCCCGTCGTGAATCCTACATCCAAATTCTACAAAGTGAATCCTAGAAACAAATGTGTTTTTACGGCAATCTGCAACCAGGAACGCAATTTACCATTACCTACAGGCTTTTACAATTATTTTGATGGGTTGCTGTGCTGCGTAGATGCAAGATAAACGCACTTGATGAAATTCAAACTAAAACAGATGACAGAAGAAAAGCAATATACATGAATGGCGCAGACTAATAACTGTGTAATTTCTTTCTCATCTTTCTTCTTCCACACCGTATTTTGACAAACAAATTGGCCGTTAGTTGTTTATACAGCAGGAGAACATGCCAGAACATTGCGACATTGTCACCTACTGTAGATAAGCAATTTAGCCAGTGCAGTATGACTGCTAGCCTAGGGTCTTTAACGTGCACCACGTAGTAGTGATACACGACCGCATGCCGGTACGATGCTCATCAACACCGAAAAGGGCAGGGGTGGGGGTGAATCCACGACCCTGGGTTCTGCAGCGCGAGCTTTCGCTCCACGTGCACCCTATTCTGAAAGAAAAAAAAAATATTGGGGCTGTGTGGCGGTGTGGGGGGAGAAAGATGAGAAAGAAATTACACAGTTGTTAGTTTGCGCAATTCCTGTATGTTGTTTTTCGTATATACTCT